TCTTATGGAAAAAAGAATTTACCGGGCAGCGGTCTGACAAAGGTTGAGAATAATTGTTATAGGGACTATGTTCACATCAGCACTGGGGCCCACCTCAGATATCCGCACAGCCTGTAGAGTTGTGTTATTGAAGAAGTGAAGACGTTAGATGGATGTTAACCTTACAGTCACGTGAGATTCAGACAACGTTGCATAGATGTCCGTGGATAGGGACCAGCAGGTGGACACAAACACTCGCGAACATGAGACCATGAATTCAGCTTCTGTACAAAATGAAGAAAGTAGTCTAATTATGTAGAATGTGCTTACCCGGACATGCTCCAGAGAATAAATTTTTCTTTTAGAGTCACTTTCCCTTTGGAATAAGTGCTTTTGTAGTTGAACTGAAGAGTGAACGCAAGAATCAGAGCATTGCCTGAACGAAAGTGAAGTTCAAATAAAGGCGTACACATTTCGAACCCATTAAGCGTGCTTGAATATTTATCACTCGTGGTAGGAAACAGAAGTGCCCATTTCACTTTGATTTGAATGTTTTGTTCCTAATGACTTAACTGTATATGTAGGTCGCAGAATTATGTTGTACAAACTCAACAAGCTGCATTTCGTGATAGAGCGTTCGTTTGATGAGTATTATTCACAAAAGGGAATTTTAAAGTGGCATTCCAGTTTCTTCTAGAAATTACATTTACGCTGATTATTCTGTATCAGGGGTTTGGAGGATTAATCTGGCATTATCAGAAACTTTGAGCTGAAATAAATACAGTTACAAAATACATAATAAATGCATGAACTGTTACAATTAAGTTATATTTTTTTTTTGTTCAGTAGCTTAAGAAGTGGAGCCGGGATAGCGCATTCGGTATAGCGACTTGCCACTTGCTGGTCGGAGTTCGAGTCCTGGTGGTGTCAAGAATTTTAAAATCTCCATGTCGGTAAGACCGGCTCTGGGGTCCACCGAACCTCTTATTCAGTGGGTACCGGGGGCTGTTTCTCCGAGGGTAAGCAGTCGGGGCGTGAAACTGACCGTTTACCAACTAGTTTCGAGGTCAAGAAAACGCGGATGTATACATCCACTCCTCCATACACCTTCATGCTGTAATGCTTATTTAGTTAATTACAGGGATAGGTTTACTTTTTTTTTACCTTACCTTAAGAAGTAACGTAAGGTAAAGTTGTCTCTGTGCTTAACTGATTAAGCATTACGCCGTGAAGGCGTATGGGGGAGTGGATGTATAGATCCGTGCTTTCTTGACCTCGGCACTAGTTGGAGGTTAGTGGTCAGCTTCACGTCCCTGCCGCTTTACCCCCGGGGAAGGAGCCTGGGTGGGCTCCAGAGCCGGTCTGGACTGCATGCAAAAATGAAAATTCTTGCTGTCACCGGGACTCGAACTGAGACTCGTCTGTCTTGCAGCCCTTAGCCAGTCGTTATACCGACTATACTATCCCGGATGGCACGTAATGTTGGAAGTTTATTTACAATTGCCAGGCCCCAAAAGTCATACTGTACCAGACATCATGTAACTGTTGGCCTTTCAGACAACTGATAATTGAAATTAGGGGCAAATTAATCACCTTGGCTACATTTGATGAATGCTAAGAAACAGAGACTTCTTCGTGATAGCATCATTAGCATTTTTATTGTCTTAGGGAATTTTTACGCATGAGGAAGAAGTGGAGGCTTCTCACTGTCCGTCACATAATATATCTGCAGTCTCACTGACGCGCCAGAAGGCATTTTGTATGTCTATTTGAAACTCTTAAAATGGAGGCACAGAATATTTGTGAGCCTTTTAAGCAAATTAAAGTTTCAGGTCGTAAATGGCTCAGATAAACAGTTCTGTTTATCTTTTCAAGACCCAAGGAAGCGAGAAACGTTGCAACTCAAATGTCATGTAACTGCATTAGTGATGTATCTTATCTTTGAACTGAATCTGACGAAATTGATGAAATGTTCTTTTATATGTGTCAGTTTGTAATATTAACCTGACCACGCCTTCGAATCATTTTGCCATTAACACGCCACTGCTGTTAGAAGTTCGTTTTTTTTTTCGTCATTGGGTGAGACTGATCCTACGTTTACTGTTTGGCCTATTGTACCAGTCCCATATGATAGATGATGATTGTGGAGCAGTCGGTGGAAAGAGAATTGGCAGGTAAAGCCGAAATACTAGGGGAAAACCTGCCCCAATGCCACTTTTTCCACCCCAAATCCCACATGATCTGACCTGGGCTCGAACCCACTCCGCCGCTGGAAGCCGGTGACTAACCGCCTGAGCTATGTCACGGCCAAGTTGGGTTGCATTAATCCGAAAGTGCATTTTCATTGTCATTGAGCACATAATCAAGCTCTATCGCGAGTCACTGCGCATGTCCGTAACCTGTGTCATCGTCTTTGGCAGAATAGCCGCTGTTTATCCGTAGTCTTTCTTAGAAGATTCAGCCAGCTTTGCCCTTTCCTGGGAATTAGGCCATTCCGTTTTCATCCAATTCATTTCGCAGCTTCAATTATTTTACAGAGGAAGGTCGTCATCATTTCGTCCAACCCCCCCAAGCTGCTGGACCAGGCCTTCGTATTTTTGTCCTCCAATGACAGGGTGACCCAGTTATGCCCCCAGGCACCGGGTTTCCTTTTCGTCACCTTCTACGACTCGCAGGTTGCACACGGGGAATAACCTATTTCTGTAGCATAAATTTTTATGGTATTTTCTCAGATACACGTGGGTTTTCCATAAAGTTTTACAGTAAAAATGGATATACATCTTTGTTTTCTCTGGCCGTGTACTTTGTTCTTCTGGTTTAGGCATCGTGACACTGAGGGAAGAACATCGCGCATGCGCGTCTGTCTTTGTTCCTCTGTTATTTCTTCAGGGATCGCTCAATGTTGAATTATTAGATTTGCAGATTGTATATTAACAGGTTATTCATATTTTTGTTTCTGTAGCAGTTGTTGATGTAGGCCTGTTATATAGAAACACCAATCCCTGTTCCAGAGAAGTAAATCTTGGTTTGAAATGTTGATAACTTTCCTAAGGTTAGCTTGTGTTCTTAAATGACTGGATTTCCGTTATTATTGTTTGACGACTACATGGTTGAATATAATTGATCAGCCGTGTACTGCATGTTTAGGAGTGTTACCTCAGTGTGTGTCGATAAGGCTTTTTTTTTTTTTTAATTCGCTTAGTGGGGGTTGGAGTCCAGCTGAGTCCACTCGGCACGGCGGCCACTGATTGGCCTATTGTAGCCTGCCCCGGCTGATTATGATGATGGAGAATTTGGTGGAATGAAGGTTGGCAAGGGAAACCGAAGTACTCGGAGAAACCCCGCTCCAGCGCCACTTTATCCACCACAAATCCCACTTGACCAGACCCGGGATCGAACCCGGACCACCACGGTGGGAAGCCAGCGACTAACCGCTTGAGCTATGGCGCGGCCGTCGATAAGGCTTACTTTTTGGCCCGCTGATTATGTGAAATCTAAAGCGACTAATGCTATAGGTTAAAGGTAATGCTATCCCTGTAACAGGCCGTTGAGGCCCATAGTGTTTTGATAGGCTCCCACATTTTCTAGGCAGTCGGCTCACAGATGGCGGTGAGGTCAGCCTTACGCGCCGGCCGCACTTTACCCCCTAGGAAGATTCCTGGTACTCATTTCTGTTAGAGGCTGAGTGAACCCTAGCGCCATATTGCGACTGGAAGGGTTAGGTAAATTGAAAATATCCAGTAACATCATCGGGAATCGAACCCGCGACCTTCCAGCTTTCAGCATAGTGCTTCAACTAAGTACACTACCTCGTGCCCCCCTTAATGCTATGAATTGAACATCATCGCTGAACAAGAACGCGAACGGCGTTTGATATGTGCTGAAAGAGCTACGGGTGTGGTTACTGTTACGGTAAATTTTACTGCTTTAAAGATTTTCATTTCGTCTGTAATAAAGTTTTAGGAAGGTCTTTATTAATTCTCGAGTACCACGGTTGCAAATATTGTCTGACCTAGCAGTTATGGAAAAGTCGTTAAGATGCTAAATGGCGAATTGTTAGGCCGCGAAAGTTACTTCGTCGAGCGTGTTAAATTTGTGATGATTGTTAAATGTTGGAAACGAGGTTTTGTGTCGTGAATTCCCAGCTAGCACATATTACACTTCACGTTATAGGCAATACTTCACATGCCCTAAAAATTTAACTGACTCCATGAAGCTGAGTCCTTTTGAAGCTAATAGCACCAGAGCCACTCAAGAAATTTCAAACGGTTTGTTTAATCCTTCGGTTCGTTTTTTTTTCCCCTTGGCACTACAGGCCCAGTGGGCCTAGGCATACCTCCATGAACTTCTCCGTTCACTTCGGTTTTTCTAGATCTTACACATTCGGTAAGACTCCTTGGGCGGGTGATCAGCTCGTCGCAAGGCCTCTACCTGTACGTAAAGACAGAGAAACGCACACAGACAAACTAAACATCCATGCCCTGAGTGGGATTCGAACCCACGATCCCGGTTTCCAAGCGAGCAAAGACAGTACATGGCCCTTGGGTTTGTTACCATGATTAATTTATTTCCTGTGAAGTACGAACTGAATTTATTATATATGTTGTTTTGAAAGACATTCAGTTCTTAAAGGCTTAAACTGGCATATAGATGCGATGCAGGGACGGACTACGGATATAGTGTTCTTCTGACTCTAATATCAGCCGATGAGTAGGGAAGATAATTGTAATAATTGCAGTAGATGTATTGCGGACTAGTAGGACTCGTATGTGGCCCTGTAGAGGTGGCGAAGACAAAAAGCTTCTTCAGGCGCGAGCCGAAGCCCTGCCGTTCTCACTTTGCTGTCCTGGCACTGTGCCAAATGTCGGATTTTGTACATCCGGTCGGACCCGTTCCATGTGTATGGAACTCGTGTTCAGGAAATTGAGCAGGCTGGTGTGGTTAGGTGATGGTGTAGAGTAGATATAGGTGCAACCGCAAGGCAGCGCTCTCTTGATACATGGCTTGATCGCTTGTTTCAGGCTGAAACTGGAGTGTGAGAAGCTTGCAAGCGAGAAGACTGAGATGCAGCGTCACTACGTCATGGTGAGTACTGTTGTAACTTAATTAGAGGTGCCAACACACAAGACATATCATCACACTAATTAAATCATAATAAAAAGTTGTGGCTACGAAACGGCGAGAAAGCCGAAGGAGGGTTGATTAAACATGCGTGGGGAAGATTATGAAAGGAAACACAGGTAGTGGACCATGTGTATTCGTTCCCTCCATAAAAGCCGAACAAGTCTCAGGACACACAAAACATTTAGGGTGGGACTAAATGAAACACGCACATCTTTATCTAATTGTAATTAATTATATGAGCTGTATCGTATTATGGCCTTTTTAATGCAGTGAACAGGTTTCTTGTACGATTTTCAATGTAATAGGTCTAGGCCTTTGCGTTGTAATTAGTATCGCTGTTTTTCGTATAATTTGTTAGGCCCAATCAATATGGGGACTTTCTTCATGTAACGGGTTCATTACAATATGTGAAGTGTTGGCTGTAGTCGGTACTGAGCTGTCTTTCGTTTAATGTGTTATATCTGGGTCGCCTTGTTTTTTACATGTATGTGTGTTGGGCTCAGTGAGTATCAGGCCGTTTTTCTTGTAACATGTTTTTTGTAGCGCATATCGACCTTTCTTGCCTTTTCTCTATATTCTGTATGGAGCTGTTGTAATCGGACTTTCCTTTGTGTAACTTGTTAATTGTAACTGATAATGCGCTCTGTTCATGTAACCTGTTGGGTAACGGTAGTGCCCTGTTTGCCGTGGAACTTGTTAGGTGCAATCATTATTTCGATATTTATCGCGGAACGTTCTCTTTACAATCACTGTATGTTTTAAGGTTTGCCAACTTTTTATGTGTTTATGTTTAATCGTGGAGAATGTACCTGTATACTTTCCTTTGTCAAGTTCTGACGTCATGTTCGTTCATCTCTTCGTTCGCGTATTCAGTTCCATGTAAACCACTTTCTCCACTTGCATCATCATAACAATGCCACAGTCAGGGCCTAAGTAGACAAATGAATCGAAAATTCCATTTCAATAAAAGGAAAATGTAACTTTGTAAAAACTGTGGAGGACCATAGGGTTGTGAGACGTCGATGCTGCTATATTTTCTCTAGACATTCGGCTCACAGATGGTGTTGAGGTTGTCAGCCTTAAGCGCGGGCCTCACCTTTACGCCCCAGGAAGATTCCTGGTACTCATTTCTGTTATAGGCTGAGTCGATCCCAGGACCATAGTGCGGGTGGAACGATTAAGCCAATTGAAAAATATAATGACCTCATCGGGACTCGAACCCGCGACCTTCCAGCTTGTAGCTACCGCTTCCCCCCCCCCCACTTGTATAGAAATCCGTAACTGTAAACAGATATAATATTCCCTGTGCGGAAGTTCAGTCTGCTCCCATGTTCGGGTGATTTATGTTTATCAGAATCGTCAGTTGAAACATCGTTATTTAATAACCAGTCTGACAATGTGTGGGCAGGAGCTAGGAGGCAGCTGCCCTGACCTTTTGTCGCATCTCTGTTCCAACATTTGCTTTTGAGGGACGAGACCGGCGCGGAGTGAAGTGACTGGAGCCGGCTCTTCGCGCGCGGCCTCTGTTCCCATGTGCTCACAGTTGCTATTCTGTGTTCCCTGTAATGACCACTGGATCGCTGAGCAACAATAGACTGCCTGAAGCTCGGATAGGGGAGACCTTCGGCATGCGAGTGGCACACACCCTTGATGTCAATTACACGCGAATCAAACCAGAAATTGAAGGAGTACACGGTGACCAATAATGCTAGTAATCTGTGTGATTCTTGGTTCTGATGAATGCGACATGTAGGGGAAATAGGATTTGTGGTTCTGGTATATAACATCGGGTAGTCCGTTGAAAAGTAACCGACGTTTCGGAGGAACACGTTGCCTCATAGGGTCAAAGAATAAGCCAAACAAAAAACCAGATATGCTTCCTGACAACTGCATTCTGCATCATGGATAGCTTCTAGATAATTCTGATATGATGTAGAATCAGATACAGTTACGCCTCTTATGAGATGAAGGTAATAACGTGGTCATGCATCTGTTCAGAGTGGCATTCGAACCCATGATCCGCGTGTTCTACCCTCCCAAGACTTTGCACACTTCTAGACCTCATGGCCATCGGGCTGGCCATTTACATGTGAACGCCCTTACTCATGCGAAACAGCGACAGTGGTGATGTATCATTAAGCGAAGAATAAGCAGTAGGTTACAAGAGTTATATTGTCTGGGATTTAACGTCATGTCCCCTGAAAGTCAGCCGACGTTTCGGAGGAACGCATCGCGTGTATATGGTCAAAGCCAAACACGAAACAAAGATGAAGCAGGCCGCAAACAGGATGCTCTGAATGCTGCCTGATTCATGTTGCTTTCGTTTATAGAACTGCGCGGCTTCATGTCCCTGAAGGTGGAAATGTTTGTGCTTACCGCCTGAGAACCCAAATCCAGTGTAAGGTAGATTTTTAAAAATGTTGTTCAAGCATTTTTCTGAAAGTATTTCAGTCCACAGATATTCTTAAATGTAAGAGGATGTTATAGCTCTAACTAGACCAAACATCGACAGCGTCCTTGAAAGAATGACACACCTCTTTCCTATTCCAGAAGTCTCAGATTCGAATACTGGTCTTGTGACCGGTAATCCTGACTTACCTCGTGGTTATACTCAGCCTTCCCAGGAAAATGCTGTGATTGTACCTAAAAGTAGACCAAAACCACATTCTTCCTGTCATTCAGTGCTGTATGACCTGTGTGATTGAAAAAAGTCCGTAAATAGCCCACGTCTGTACCCAGGATTGGCAACTGCAATCCAAACCCAATGCCTGTTGAATTATACAGGTTTACTTAACCAACCTGTGAGAAGACATGCCATGTCTCGCGTGCTGTATAGGTAATCAATACTTCATAGATTTCAGAGAAACATGCCCACAGATGCTTCATTCTGATTCGTAGGAATCCTCCGGGTTATCGCTGTGACACTGTACAACTCCCCGTTGATGTCATGGCTTATTTAATGACTTGATGTCAGCTGCTTATCTTGCATGGCTTGCAATGAGAAATTAACTAACTATAAGACAGAGAGTGTCTTTGATCTGTCAACTCAAAAAAATATTGAACGGGTTTGGAATAAATTTTGGTATATTCGGGTACACGCAAAATGTTAGTTTTACTTCCTATTGGTCGGCCAGTGTGGACCTGAAGGATAGACACCAGTAGGAAGACCTACACGGTGATCGGAGGATAAGATTAAAAAGTATCTTAAAGAAATTTGGTGGTAGGGAAGGAGACAATACGAGTTATATTGAAGTTCTTACCTCACTTGCGATTCAGCGGAAGAGAGATGAAGGAAATTCGTGAAAACACAAGCCAGTTGGTATGTTTGTTTTAAGAAATTGGGAAGTAACAGCATGACATAAACATGAGGACGATTCGAGATAAAATAAAACTCCGTGATTTCAGTTCGCAAGCGAACCATATCGACCGAGCGACCGTCGCTTGTCGGCGAAGTTTAGTGCCAACTTTTGCGACTAGAGGGTGTCGCGTGGTGAGCGTAACGAATCCCCATGATCGTTAATTTCGGTTTTATAGACCGGAGCCGCTATTTCCTTGAATTAGCCCCTCAATTATCATGAGTGGACCCCGTTCCAGATCCACTACTTCTCATAAACAGTCTGGTAGCACCGGGAATCGAACCCGGACCTCTGGATTTGTTGCCAGGAACGCTGACCACTAGACCACAGAGGCGATTCGAGATAAGCGAATTTAATATAATGCCCTTAGTACTGAATGGGACTCTAATCTTGACACTTGCAGGGAAAGGGATGAAGAGACGAACAAGAGGGGAAGGGACGAAAACATTCATACTATTTATAGCATCGATCCAGAACATATTGACCATTAGCGTACCTGTGTAGTGCTCATCTGGACTGAACTAAAACAGTTATGTTTGTATCTCTGTACAGTGCAGAGCAGCATTTCAACAGTGAAACTGACACTGAGTACAATAATATTATCTGATGAAGTTCGCACATCAAATACATCAATAAAGTACCGTATTTACGCATGTATAGGCCGCAGCACAATTTTCAGACAGAAATTATAGAAAAAATAATTTTCTTGGAATATTATTTCAGGAGTAGAATACCCTGTATTACTAATTATGAATATAATTTTTTTTTAATGAAGTGTGATTTCGAATATAAGCCGCACCCCAGTTTTCCTCTTGAATTTTTGGCAAAAAATGTGCAGCCTATACATGCGTAAATACGGTATATACTGAATGTTTTGGCTCAGGTAGTAGTTGCTGATTCATTGTGTCGCGCCTTTAAAGGTTCTGACTTCCTGCATTCCTCACAGCTCTCAAGATTGGAGTCTTGTGCTCTATGTACGGTTATTGAAACACATACTCTTGCAGTATGCAGTAACGCTTCTGACGTGCGATCTTGAGGTGCCTGGTTCGGATCTAGTATGCCGATGTGGTATACATCAGCCCCTCCTGAAAATTCCAGGATGATGCATCAAGTTAGGCCACCGCCACTTCTGTATCTTTTGCAGCTCATTATTCCGTGGTCCTCCAACCATTTCCTCACACTAAACAGTCTGTTAAGTAAACTGTACACAGCTGGAAAATCCTACGGCATTCTTTGAGGCGCTACGCCAAGATGAATTTGTATCTGTTGCCTCCGTACTTCGCTGTTTATTCGAACATGGTCCGTTGTGAACATGTCAGATGGATCCGAACCTGCAACAGGACAAGTGAACTGACAGTGAGAGGTCTGCATTGAGATACCGGAAGTGACACGGAAGTGTTCCGCCTCGTTCTCTAATTAAATTTGAACACTGTATTGTCAATCCTGGTTGCCGCACAGGGAATCGATTTTTACCTAGTTTTATCTGTGACCGTTTCTGGGACGCACACGATCTCCTATCGAACAAGTATCGGTGGATCCTTCCCGTCAAATAAAGCGATCAGAGCCCAGAGCCCATCACCCACCTTCATCTAAACTCAGGCTTGG